AGTAGGGAGCAAAGGTCAAGATTCTAGCTTGTAGTAGGAATTGTTCGTTAAAAAGTGTCTGTTAGGAATGTTTACACAGCTTGCCATAGAGAAAAATACTTTGGTCAACAAGAGGTTAGGAAATAGAATTAGTAATGTTAAATGAAGATGGAGTGTAACTCTGTAGTCAAGATGAAGCAAATACCTATTAACCAAGTCTCAGTTCTAATTTCCTGATTCCTCCAAATTAGACTTCACTTACTGAGATCTTCACTCCATTTCTGCCGACTCTTTGAAAATCTGTAACTAAGGTAAAAGCATAGCCTGTTACCTTAAGAGAGGCAGACATGCATCTGTGACAGAAAATTGACTCAATTATTCCTGACAGAATGCTTTGTTAAACAAATCTCAGGATATAACAAATAGACTTACTGATGTTAAGAAGAATGTCTTGGTCAAACATGTTTCAAGATGTAAGACATTAGTGTTAAGTTAGAGATTAATGTTAAGAAAGTTTGTAGTTTGACAATCCCTTGTAACTATTTTTTTCCTTCTCTTGTACCCCTCCTTGGTGCCTGTGAACACTTGTCCTTTGCGCCACCTGATAAAAACCTCACTGTTCTCCCTGCAATTTCGAACACACTGTAACATCTTACCTGAGTGCTTGTGTGTCTCCCGTTTCACGAAACATTTTTATCCTTCAATAAAACTCTTTGTTTTTATTTTTTATCTCTAGCATATATGTATTTCTAGAGTGTTTCCAGAGCAATAATAACAATAACGAGAGTGTCACAACACATTAAGTTGCCTTCTCTCTCTCTAAATACATATGTACAGATAGATAGATACGTAGATATATACACACACTTCACTGGTTTTGCTTCTCTGGAGAACCCAGCCTAAGATAAAGAACAAGGGGAGCTTACATGAACTTGAGGCACTATTGAGAAGGCTGGGTCCTGAGATTCTGCAAGGTCTCCTCTGGATTCTTACTGGACTTTCCTGCAGTGAGGCTAATCTTGGCTGCCCCTTGAAATACAATTAGCTTTGGGCATTCTGCTGCTGGTACATGCTGGTAAAGACTGCTCGGGTCCATCTCTGCTGGGTTGAGGCCTTGAGGTGTGTCCTGGCTGATTCAATCTTACCAACACTGTAGAACCCTCTGAATCTCTGTCATAATCATCTTCGGGTTCCTTGACCCTCAACATGGCAGGCCCCTACAGCAGGCCCTTGCCTCTCAACACAGCTACTGTTCAAGACATCCCTTGGGGTCCTCCCTTCCTCCACTGGGAGGAAGGCTCATTCTGCCTAAGCATTCTATGCCACTGAATTTACATAGTTTGTTCTGCAAAGCCTATGTCCTTCTACCTTCCCTGCCTTCAGCACTCCCCTCAACCTATCTAACACATCTTTCCCCTCCAGAATGAAGCTTCCCCTATTTTGTCCCTCTTTTCCCCCATAATCCCTTGCACT